CTTAAAGGCTGTTCTGTAAAATAGTTTTTTTTAAAAAAAAAAGTTTTATTTTTTTAGACAAACATAAACAAACACAACATAAAAACATCAAGCCATCTTCCACATACATACATACAGTGTGTCGGTTGGTTTACAAACTGTTTTGTGCATCCACTTCATAGTCATCACTTACAATTACTTGTATATGTTCTCATATTATCTATCAAATATTCCTAAATACATTGATATCATTATTAATCAATCATTTGACTATGCTATTATTCATTCATGTTTTGCAAGATAATCCATATTTTAATTGATTTATTTTATGACAATTCATATTATCATTAAAATAGTTGAAGCAGAGAGAGTTTGACTAGCTTCAGTGATTACAGAATCATTTTGCTATCCAAAAGGGATTCAGGGACTCCAGAGAAATATAATGACCTCCAGCTTGGCTGTCCAACACCATCAAAGGAGATCTTTCCCACCTTTCCCGAAGTTGAAGGACTTCTTCAAGATCAACCGACATTCTAATTCTAATTCCTATACATATATTGCATGCAGGTCCCATGACGTGAGAACAATGCCCCCCCCTCCCCAGTACAATATGATAAATAGAATTAATAACGTTGCTAAAATAAGATCCAGCCAACACGGCTAAAAATACAATCTCTCTCCATAAAATGTTCTTGGCTCCTGAACAATGTGGAGCAACAGAGTACAAATTGAAATGGTTTATTTGTGTCTATTCAGAGACGTTCCTTCCATCATAAATGGATTTGTCAAACATCATTAGCCTTGCCCTTTCAAACCAAAACCAATAAAACTTTTATTTGATTTGCTGGCCGTATATTCTTGGACACTCAGTAAAGTACATTTGTGGAATTAGTGTTACGAGTTTATTTTCTGAAACTGCCGTTTGGATATCATCGCGTTTCCTTGGGGTTCTGTCCCTCTTGATGTCGACGTCTACAAAGCAGGGGTCTGTTGTGGTTGTGCGGACGGCAGTGGAATTGGACAGTGGGGAAGAACGGGGACCAGTCCGGGAGTCTGGAGAGGACTCGGACAAAGGTCCTGCATCCGATGTAGGGATGGGGCCAGGATCATCTGGGAGTGGGGTGCTACCTTCGGAGCTTTGGAGTCCGGCAGCAGCGAGGCAGAGGAACCAGGGGAGCCTGTTCCCAATGTGCACTTGCACAGAGCTGCCAGAAGGCAAGAGCAGCTGAGACAAAAGGGGCAACTCGGGAGTAAGGCTTGGAGGTGATTGCCCCTCCCCTGAGGTATAAAGGAGGTGCAAAGGTAGAGGAAGCTTTGCAGGAAGCAAAGTCGTTCATTCTGTTCAGATTAATCCTTGATGTTCTGTGTGGACTTTGTACTTTGGTTGGTTTATTTTGTAGTTCATTTGGCACGTTAGTTGTTGGCAGCAATTCAAAGGAGAGAAAGGTGGGTGCTTATCTTGAGGGACTGTTTGGGACTCATTAGGGGCTGGGAATGTACATAATTCCCAGCGTTGAAATAAAACAAGTGTTGTTTGGACTAAGCATGTGGTTAATTATGGTCTCAGGAAGCCTTACTCAGAACAGGATCTCCATATTTGACACCTTTAAGACTTGTGGACTTCAACTCCCAGAATTCCTTAGCTGGCTTGGGGAATTCTGGGAGTTGAAGTCCACAAGTCTTAAAGTTACCAACGTTGAAGATTCCTGCTCTAAGGTCATCACTGGTCCAGCTCCTCGCAAACCTAGATCCCAAGACTGAGGCATTTCATCAGGATGTGTCAATACAGGAAGTCCTCGAATAACGACCGCAATTCAGTCCAACATTTTTGTTGTTAAGTGAGACAGTTGCTAAGTGAGTTTTGCTCCACTTCACAAACTTTCTTGCCACAGTTCTTAAGAGAATCACTGAGTTAAATTAGTAACATGCTTGTTAAGTGAATCTGGCTTCTCTATTGACTTTGCTTCTCAGAAGGACACAAAAGGGGATTAGATGACTCTGGGACATGCCAACTGTCATAAATATGAGTTGCCAAGTGGTCTGAATTTTGATTACATGACCACAGGGACGGTGCAACAGTCGTAAGAGTGAAAAAACGGTTGTAAGTCACTATTTTCAGTGCTGTTGAACCTTTGGATGGTCACTAAATGAACTGTTGTAAGCTCAGGACTGCCTGGGAAGTCAAGATGGTTCCCCTAATGGGATGATCAGAGTTCCTTCTGTTTTATATCTGTATCTTTGACCACTCCAGTAAAGAGAAATCATTCCTTGGCTTCTGCGAAATCTCAAAAGTGCTTCCTTTCATTATTCTCCAACACACCAGCAATTTTCCCCCCTTTTTTCTTTTCAAAGTACAAGTTTATCTGTTTAACACAAATTGATACAATGGGGAGTAAGTTAATCCTATTAGTTCCCTGAAGATTCCCAGCTACAATTGAAGATTAGGGCTAATCTCAGTGATTGGCACTAATGTTATTGTTTTATTGTGTTGGCTTTTATACTTACTTTTTACTCGTATGTGTCTGTCTGTCTGTCTGTCTGTCTATCTATCTATCTATCTATCTATCTATCTATCTATCTATCTATCTATCATCTATCTTGTATATGTATCTACTTTCTTTCTATCTATCTTATATCTATTATCTATCACTCTAAGTTTGCACAACTCATCCACTGGTCATATCAGAAGATTTTCTTTTGTTCTGTTGAAAAGGATGTCAGAAATGGTTCATTTAATATCTGACTTCAGAATGACACTCCCGTTGTTTGCAAAAAAGCAAATAAATAAATCTTCCAGTTCCACTAGAAATGCAATCTATCAAAATAAAAAATAAAGATGAAAGAAAGGTAGGGTGGGAAAGAGAGAGAAACATATATATTTTTTTGCTTTAGCTGCCTGAGGCATACTTTAGTATTTGGTTGGTTGCCAAGCTCAATTTATTTCACTGTTTCACTTTTAATCGCTCACTTAGTTGAACGTAAGTAAAACACACACGCAGTCTTTGTTTTCAGAGTAGTTTCCTTGCCGCTGCTTCTGTCTAAATATATTGCTCGCAGCCTCACAAGCTGTAATAATTTGCTTTAAATTCTGCAGGAGTGAAATAAATGATTCCTTGTTCATTTTCACAGAACCAGGGTACCACAGTGTGGCTCAGAACCACGTCCTGAAGTAAGACAAGTTTTATTTCTGTGAAACACCACCACCACCACCAAAGCTTTGCATGGCCAGCACTTGGAAAACGTTGAAGGAAAACGTGATAACAACTTGACACGGGCATGGCTTTAAGATGGGAACTTAAAGAAAGAAACGGAAGGTTTAATACTTGTGGCTCAAGAACAAGCACAACAAAAATGAATGAAAACCACTGACAATCCAAACGGCCAACTTTGCAATGAGACCTTCAAGAAGAGATTGGACTGCCATTTGTCAGAAATGGTGTAGAGTCTCCCAGTTGTGTGTGAGGGTTGGATTAGATGACCTACAAGGTCCCTTCCAACTCTGATTACCTGCAATGACAAAGTTAAAACTGTTTCACATTTAATATGTGAGTGCAGAAAAATCGCACACACTGATTCCAAAGCTAGATACGAACCGAGTTGCTAAATTAATCCACTGGTCATTATATAAAAAAATACCATTTACCTATATCTGAAAATTCATGGGAACACAAAGTGGAAAAAGTTGTCAGAACTTTTTGAGACGGTGAAGATCTTTGTGGGACTTTCGAATGAATACAGACGGATCGTCGTTTGGAACACAATGTGCCAGATATCAGAGTTGTCGAAAACCAAAGCGTACAATTCATTGATATCCCCGTAGCAGGAGACACCAGACTCGAAGAAAAAGCACTGGTGGGGGGTGCGGGGGAATCACCAAATATCGTGACCTGGCCATAGAAACTAGGGGATTATGGATGAAACATGTGACAGTGATACAATTGATATTGTTTTATTTGTTCCCTAGTATGATTTGACCTTTTATTAGTAACATACGACTATTACTAAGTGTTGTATCTTATGATTCTTGATGAATGTATTTTATTTTTTCTTTATGTGCACTGAGAGCCTATGCACCAAAGACAAATTCCTTGTATGTCCAATCACACTTGGCCAATAAAGAATTCTACATTCTACATAACAACAACAATAACAATATTTTGGGCATCAACCACTAGCATCAGTCAATGGTATTTGTGATGCGTTTTTGAATGTTCAGTTGACTGAGTTTCATGTTTAATGAATGAAATATATAATAGTAATACTTGGTTGATACCTAGGATGCTGGGAACAACCCAAATCAACCACCAATGCCAGTCAATGATATTTGTGATACATCTTTAAAATGTTCAGTTGACAGAGTTTCATGTTGAATGAATAAAAGCTTACGACAATAATAATAATTATAATAATAATTCAGGCAAACCTATGCCTAGGCAATGGATAGTGGGGAGTTCGAGTTCTGCCTTAACTATGAAAGCTACCCAGGGGGCCTTGAGCTGGTCATTTTCTCTCAGCCCAACTCACCTCACAGGGTTGTTGTTATGGGGGGGGGGGGGGGGGAGAAGCCATATTGTATATGTTCGCTGCCTTTCAGTATTTGCAAAAATAACAACAAGCAGGATATGAATAAATAGATGTCAACTGGAAAAGGAGTTTCTCCTGTTATTTTTTTCTTTTTAAAGCTGTTTGCAGGGGGAGCAAAACAGTTCCAAGCCCTTTTTCCTTCCTCCCTCCTCAACGTGGTCTACCTCGCAGGGTTGGGGTTGTGTTTGCCTTCCCTTCCCATATAGGCAGATTGCTGGAAGGAGGAAGGAGGGGGAAGGCCCCTTCTGCTCCCTCAGCCAGTTTGCATGGCTCCCTCCTTGGGACGACAAGTCCCATCCTCCACCACCACCACCTGGAGCAGCAGGATGCTCCGCTAAGGACGAGGTTGGGAATAAATAGGTGGTTCCCCCGGGGAGGAGCCCCCCCCACGAACTACAACTCCCGGCGTGCCTCGCTAACGTCCTGCGGCGCAAAGGTTTCTGGGAGGTGTAGTTCGCTTACAGCTGGAGCCCGCTCGCAGGACAAGGAAGACGGGAAGGTCGCTTCTGTGGCTTCTTTCCAAGGTAGACTGCCTCTGGATGGGGAGGTGCAGCGTGCAGACACCCCTCCCCGTTCTCTCCAAGCTCCCCCCCCCCCCCCCCCCCCACGCCCCCCCCCCCCCGCCCCCGGGAAAGGTCCTTGAATCCAAATCAAACGGGAAGGGTTGCTTTCCAAGCTTCTCCTTGGCTTTCAAGCCTCTTCCTTTTGCAAAAAAACCAAAAACCCTCTGCAATGCAAATCTCGTCCTCCCCCCCGCCCATATTGCAAATTTGCAAAATTGCAAATCTCTGTCCCCCCCAAAAAGTGCATTTTTGCCTGTTGCAATTGATAGGAATTTTTTCCCCCCCAGCATAGAAGGACTCCCAAGAGACCTGTGGGACGTTGCAAACTTCTTTTTTTTTTTGCATCTGGTAAAGACTCTTGGGATACTGTAGGGCTGAGAGCAAAAACAGAGCAAGTAAAATGTAAATCTTTTTTTAATCTTCTGTGCTTTATTTCAGTTTGCAAGCGTGTGTGGCCTTGCAGCTCTCCTTTGCAAATGCTGTGTCCCCAGTTGTATTTATGCTGGGTTGTGGGCTTGGAATGCAGAAGTGGGAAGGGTCAGATGGCTAAAAAAATGAGGGGGAAACATTATTTCAATGCAGGAAAATGCTATCTAATAAGGGACGGATTTTATTTGCAAAGGAAACTGTTTATTGCCTCCATAAAGTGATCAACTATCAAAACAATAATAAGCAACATCTGTCAAGGCCAATTGATTTTCCACAGGTTTGAAGCTCTTGCTCTGGGACAGTTCAGAAATGTAAAAACATAATTAAATAAAATTATGGTTGAGGTGGGCCCCAAATTGTAAATATCAAGTTGTTTCGAAGCTCTCTGTTTTTAAGATAAAAGATGGTAATGTATGAGTTGTTTTTTTCTAAACTAAACCCTCAGTATCAGGTTAAATGTATACATGAACATTTGGGTATCATTCATATTAATACAAATAGCCATAATAATATTAATATTTGTGACATTAGTCACTTATGCAGTCCTAGTATTAATACACGCGTTCATTTTAAAATACTTACTCAGTGTTTCAGTGTGCTTCTCTTCATGCCAATCACAATATTATTTGAGCAAGCATAGTAATGCCATCCTTCAACCTCTAATCTTTTCATCTAATTGTTGCATTTATTCTATTATATAAAAAAATCATTGTGCTGTGATTTGATAAACATCCATCGCCGAGAAGTCCTAAAATTGGGCGTGATTTGTTTAACATCACCTTGGGTTTTTAGCAAAGGAAATTCTGTTTTCTGTTACCTTTGTAAGTCGAGAACTACCTAGTCCTTTAATTCTGATTTTATTCTCTTTGGGGTGTGTGTGTAGCAGAGGGAGAGGATAACCCCACGGGAAAATGAAGTTTGCCTGCCTCTCCTTCCGACAACCGTACGCCGGGCTGGTATTGAACAACGTCAAGACCATTGAGAGCCGTTGGCGTCCGGTGTTGGCCAGCCACCAAGATGGCACTCTTGCCGTCCACATCGCTTTCAGAGATTGGGAGGATGACAGCTGGAGAGATGTTCTCCTCAACAGACTTGGTTGGACTTCAGCTCAGATTGACGGTCTGTTAGCGGAGGGGGAGAAATTCGGCCGAGGGGTTATTGCTGGTGAGTCCAAATTTCCCCAATGCCATCACTCTGCTTAACAAATAATTCCCTCAACACTGTCAAACTATTTACTAAGTTCAATCCTAGATAGCGACAGGTTTTGTTTTTTTTCCCCGCTGTGGGCGCAAGGAGAAAATATCTGTTGTGAACTCTGCATAGGTGTTAGGAAGGGCATCTGGCCAGTAAATTCTCATCTGAATCCCGTCGCCCTACCCCACCTCGATGCAAGGGATTGCAGGGTTGTTAAAATTTTTAAAAAAGATTGTCAAAAGAGAAAAAGAAATTATTTTTTGTGGGGGGGAATTAAATCGTGGCTTTGGGTCTTCAAATACAGGTCTCATTGACATCGGCGAGACTTTTCAGTGCGCTGACTGTTTGCCACCTGAAGACATTTTACAGTTGGAAAATAAAGCGGTTCTCCGGGATCTGGAAGGAAAATACTTGACGGTGATTTCCAACCCCAGATGGCTGCAGAAAGCCGTTCCTGCACGAGGACACAAGGACATCTGGGAGGTAGACATCCCAGAAGATCTGATTCCTACCCGTTGAATCTGGTTGAACTTTTCCCCTCAGAGTCGCTCTCCTGCTTGTGATGGGATTGAACGAAACAACCGTTCTCGGTTTCTATCGCAGCAAATTTAACTGTACAGCTGTGTGATTCCTCATCGTTGGACTTGGGATAAATTCAAGTCTCCAGGAAACTCCAAACTATTCCAAAAGTGTTATGATTAGATGGCTATAAAACTGAAGTTCATTGAATTAGAAGCACAGATTCATTTTTTTTATTTTAAAACATGAACTCTCTTCTTCCATGTGTACGTTATACAGTAACTTACATATCGTAACATCAAAGATCTGTTGAAGCAGTTGTTATTTATATTTTTAGACTTCAAATCGTGGGTGCACAATATTACTACAGGATGTCCCAAAGGTGCCTTTTCAAGAGACATCTTGACTTTCTGGTTTTTCTTTGAAGATGTTTCGTTTCTCACCCAAGAAGCTTCTTCAGTTCTGAGAGAAACTGAAGAAGCTTCTGAGAGTAGCTGAGGAAGCTTCTTGGATGAGAAGTGAAATCTCTTCAGAGAAAAACCAGAAAGTCCAGTTGCCTCTTGGAAAAAAACACACCTTTGAGGCAACCATGACCTGAATGACTGAGAATCTCCACACACATTACTATAGGATTCCCTTTGCTCAATTTAATGCTCCTTGACTTAAGACCAATGACTGAGCAAAGTTCTGATGGATCCCTTGCTGGAGAAGCCTACAAACCAAATAATACCCAAGGAGGAGAAATTTGTGGCCTTCCAGAATTGTTGACCTCCCCAACTCTTTGCATTCATACAGGCTATGTCATCTGGGAAGTCTTTCAGACACGTTTGTAGGACCTCAAGTTCCCCACTACTCATCCTGGGCATGCTTAGAATGGAAGAGTCAATTTTTCTCCCATATATTAAGACAAGCAATGGAGCCTCCAAAACTTATGGAATTAATGCTGTTTGTGTACTATTTTTTAATCTAACGGAACCCTATTCAAAATGCTAGGCATTCAAATCTCTCTCTCTCTCTCTCTCTTTCTCCCTCCATCCCTCCCTCCCTCTCTCTCTGTCTCTCTACAGTTTCATGTCCTATTTTTAATAGGTGCTTCTATAGTGTCTGTGTAAACACTTGAAAGCAATGGGAGAATTTGGCAGCGCTGAGGGAATTCTTCAAGTCTGAACAAATTAGTCTGAATCCACACTTTTCAAATATTCCCCCAGTGCCTTAAATTAGAGGGCTCTGAAGCTCTCAAATCGGTGAGCTGGAAAGGAAGTTTCAGCAATTCAAATGTAAATATAATTTGACTTTTTTTTTCCCCCACAGAACTTGCTCTCCTGCTTGTGAAGGATTTAGCAGAACAATGGGTCTCAATTTAGATCAGGGCATTTACGATGGACGTGTGATTCCTTATCGTTGGATGTGGAATAAATACAGAGCCCAGGGAATTCTGAAGAAAGCTTTAGATAGCATAAGGCTGGAGTTCATTTAATTAAAAAGCACTGATTAATTTATTTTATTTCAAAACATATTTTCTCTTCCTCCCCGTGCATACATTATCCGCTAACCTACATTCTTATCACATTGGTAGGGGTCATCTGCTTTGAAGCATTTCGTTATTCGCATTTTAGATTTCAAATCATCAGCACAATATTGCACCCGGATTTTATTTATTTTTTGCCAAATTTAATGTTATTAGCACCATGTCAAGTAAAATAAAGACTTTTACTGCTGATAAAACGAACTCCCGCTTTGTTAATACGTAGCTGAAAAATTAGGAAAGTAAGTTGAAGTAATGTCTCTTTTAAGGCGACAAATGTTAATTGAAGAATGGCCCCATGGTTTATAAATAATGTGTCAGAGGTGACTTCCCATCCAAACTAAATATTTGCTAGGATTACAATACTCGGTTCTTAGCTCACAGCCTGCAATTCTTGATGTTAATTTTTGTCTAGCATTTTTATTAAAGAAATAAAAGTTCAAGTTTGTAACAGCCATGAATCTCGAAAGAAATGCATTTCAGGGAAAGCTAACTAAACTCCGAATCCTTTAGCCAATTTAAATACATTTAGAGTAAATTGTGCTTCAGGCTGCTCAAACTTTAACTTGCTGTATTAAAAAAGAAAGGAAGAAAGAAAAAAAACCCTAATAAACTGAACAGAAGAAAAAGATGAGCATTATTAAAACCAGTCACTACTTCATCCAAGACGAACTTGTCCTGTTGGACTTCACCAGATCTTCAAACTTGATTAAGCCCAGATCCAAGCTGAGAATTTACAAATTCTGAACAGGAAGGTCACAATAGCAAGAAGTTAAAATATATTGAGGAATTCACTGTTGGTCCTTTGACTTCCCACTGTCTTGGACTTCACCAGGTTCAATAAACTTTCCCCCCCATCTTTTAGAACACGTGAGCAAGATCTAGACACACAATAAAAATCTTATCGTTCAGCCAATTTTCATTAAACGAATCTCTGTCCCTTAAGCAACGAATTACACCATTTTAATAATAGGTGTATAATAACAACCTTAAGATCGAAATCTGTTCTGGTGATTGTTTTCTTGTTATGTAAACCCGTCAGATCCCAGTAGACTGAAAAGATTCGTAATAAGAACTTAGGAAGTGGTTAACTTTTAGGGATTCTCAACCTTGACTTGAAGATATGTGGACTTCAATGCCCAGAATTCCCCAACCATCACCCAGAATTCCCTAGCCATCACCCAGAATTCCCCAGCCATGGGGAATTCTGGGCATTGAAGTCCACATATCTTCCAAGTGGCCAAAATTGAAAAACACAGTTTCATTCTCCAGGATACTTACCTTGAGAATTGGAAGGGCAAGGTTCCCCAACGAATGGCAATGCCAACCCACAGGTAATTGTGATTCACCCACTGCAATACCATGTCACATATTGTTCCCAGAATCGATCTTTGCAAGCATCCTTCACACTTCTTTCCTTTCCAAGTTCTGGCACCACTGCCAATTCTCTAGAGTTTATAACCGGTCAAATTCTCAATGATCTCATCTGCAGATTTTTAAAAACCCTTTAGGTGGCCGGCAGCTATTTTACATCAAATATTCCTAACCACAATCGGCCAACTTCAAAATGCTGCCTGCACAGGCCAAGAACTCTGAAATGAGTAGAGTAGAGTAGGAGTAGGAGTAGAGTACAATAGAATAGAATAGATATTGGAATGGATAGGATAGAACAGAATAAATGTTGAAATGAAGAATAGAACAGAATAACAGAGTTGGAAGAGACCTCAGAGGTCCTCTAGTCCAACCCCCATCTTAGGCAGGAAACCCTACACCACTTCAGACAAAGGGTTATCCAATCTCTTCTTAAAAACTTCCAGTGTTGGGGGATTTACAACTTCTGGAGGCAAGGAGTTCCACTGATTGATTGTTCTCACTATCAGGAAATTTCTCCTTAGTTCTAAGTTGCTTCTCTCCTTGATTAGTTTCTACCCCCCAAAATGATGTTTGTTTAGACTTAAACCCATGGCAACAGAAGTGGAAAGCTATCAATCCATATCAATGCAATTCCTTCCCTAGATTATTTCTCCTCAATCTATGCATTTAAAGAAGGAAACTTTTGAAGTTTCCCTCCTGTGTTATCCATGGTGAAAGAAATACAAAGAAAGTCCACCTAGGTAAACCAGACAGGAAGAACAAAGTTTATTCTTCAGCCCAGGCCACGGTTGGATTCCCTGATTTTTTATTTTTTTTTAAGTAGATGCAAAAACGCCTGCAGAAATTCTCCTCTCCCTTATTATTATTATTATTTTTTATCGATGGTACCCGGCATAGTCTGCTGTTTTGGGTCCGGGTCCTTTGGAAGCGGATGGAGGGTTGGACGTACAGTTGCAGTTAGGACAATGGTGGTACGAAGGAGTTCGGTGGTGATGGGAAGACCTGGACATAGAAATCGCCGAAGCGGCCGCTATCATCGGCATGGAGAACCACGGGTTGCAAAAGGGAAGGATGCTGGCCCAATGAGCTTGCATGGCGGATAAGTCCGGATACATGGTCGGGAAGGTGGGCAGCCCCATCATTGGCGCGAAGGGGCTGTTGGGGACGGGAGGTATGACGTGATACAAAGAGGTAGCCGAAGTAGTCGTGGTGGAATCAATCTCGTGGGTGTTGACTCGAGCGTGGTTGGGGTGTTGGGGCAAGTGGAAAGGTGCCAGCTGGTTGATCTTGTTCTCCGTGTCCTCAGGTGGCCCCTGGTCTGAAGACCTCAACGGAGCTGGAGAAGGAGCGAACCCACTTCTGAGACGGCCTAGTGTCCCACCAAGGCTTTTGGTCACGGGTGGCTTCCGGAGACCCAGTTTGTGCATCTTATCTTTGGGAGAAGTGCTCAGGAAACTATTTTCCCGGGAAGGAGATCCCAGGGAAGGTGGATCTTCTGGGCTTCCAGATCTGCTCTTCAGACAGATTTCGCCAAAATCTTCCTCTAGCGAGAAAGCAACGGGCGGCATGTTTTTGATTCCAACTCTTCGCTTGCACCTCGCGAGGAGGTGAGGACATCCTCTCTTAAAATTGGGGTTATGGTAGAACTGGAGCTAGAGATGGTGGGGGGGAAAATGGGAGGTGGTTAATCTTCTAAGGCAAAAGGAAAATGCGTAATCTCTGGTGTAAGGAAAGGAAGTAACGAAAAGCCAATTAAAAGTTTCCTTTGAGTTCATCGTGTCTTGATTTTTTTAACTTCTGACCCTGAGTAGAGGACATTTTTCCCAATCTCCCAACGTAAATCGCTTTGGGTCCTACACTCAGAGCAGCATGTAAATTCAGAATTCTTGGACACTGTCCAGTGAAGCTAAGGACTGAGGTTTCTAAAGTTTTGTGAAAAACCTATGGTAAACATCAGCTCAGATGGACGTGTTTTTAGAAGATGTAAATCTCTCTTAGGAGGACTGTGATGACCCTGTCGGAATCTGACTTGGAGGGGGAAGCTGAGCAGCTGACAGGGAGTGGGAGTGTGGCTCCATTGGCTGTGGAAGAAACTGGGGAAGGGCAAAGTCCGGCTGGGCAGAGCAGGGGAGAGGTGGAGCAAGGGAGAGGGAGTTCAGAGGAAGAATCAGGCCCACCCCCTCTTCATCCTAGGGCACACAGGGAGGAATGAAGAAGGGAACAACATGAGTTGCGTGGCTTACGGGGGAGGAAAGGGCCCTGATTCCCTTCATTAGCTGCAGCTGGGAACTGTATAAAAGAGGAAGCTGCGCACAGCAAACTGTTGGGAAAAAATGTGAATCTATTTTGTACTGTCGTGGCTTATCTGTGTTCCTGGCATCTTCCCAACTGTGTGAGTTTTGCCGTGCTTTCAAGTCTGAAATTCCTTCTCCTGCCCTGTCAAGCTAATTACTTCAGCTTGGTTTGTTTGGATTTTTAGTTACAGTTGTGTGCAACCCTTTTCTTGAAGAGAGAGGGGTATTGTAGCCTACAGAATAACAGGAGTCTAAAGTTAGTGGTGTTGCCCAAATGTTAGAGCAGTTTGTAATATTAAAAGATAAGGCAAGTGCTCTCTACAGAATGGAGGAGGATTTGGGAGAACAGCTAAAAGCCACCGAATTGTCTGCTCGATGGAAAATTATTAATTTAGCCGACATGAGCCACTTCAAAAATGATATATCCAAAACAAGACAAAGAGGCACATGCCCTGATATTGCCCTTATCCAGTGTCCTGTATCAAAATAATTATTCACCAGGATATTGAATCCTGAAGATGGATTATACCGCTATTAGTGCAATGCAATATAAAACGGGACATTTTTTTTAAATGTTCGCTCTACAAGTTATAATTGCAACACGAGTGTGCCTGAAGTACACTAGTCCAACCAACTTGAGCAAAACTAGCACCCAAGAGTTGTCTTAATGGCTTAGCAGAATGGGCTCCAGCTTTACTAAAATAAACCATCTTTATGGTGGTTTAATGGTAATGACTCACAGGTTGGAATAATCCTGCACACGAAGGCAGAGGACACTTACCTTTAGAAAAAAAGCTGTAAATGTCTGGGTTCACACAATCTATTGAGCCACTTTGCGTGAATTTAGCCACAATCAAGATATCTAGTAGGTCGTAAGAAACCTATCCTGCATTCAGTTAGCATCTTCCCTATGTTTGATTAAACAAATCTTCCATTTATGGGCATAGATCTTAGGAGAGGACCAGGAAAGATCCTGTTCCTTTGTCCATTAATTTCATGCATGTACTGGATGTTTTTTTGAATTGTGTTCATTCACAACGTCGACAATTCTTTTTGCCAGGAACCGCTGGCATTCTGTATCCGTGGGAGAAGGAAAGTGATGGTGTGAACCCAGCGTGATGGATACAAGAGGTGGAACCACCATTACTGGTCTGGCAAAAGACAGTGTGAACCCAACATGGTCGACACAAGAAGTGAAACCATTACTGGTTTGGCAAAAGACGGCATGAACCCATCGTGGTGGATACAGAAGGGGGAGCCATTGTTACTGGTTTGGCAAATGATGGTGTGAGCCCAACGTGGTGGACACAAGAGGGTGGAACCAGCATTACTGGTTTGGCAAAAGACGGCATGAATCCATCGTGGATACAAGAAGTGAAACCACCAATACTGATCTAGCAAAAGATGACGTGGACCCATTGTGGTGGATACAAGAAGTGGAGCCAGCAATACTGGTATGGCAAGAGAGGACGTGAACCCATCATGACGGATACAAGAGGGTGGAACCACCGTTAACGGGTTTGGTGAACGGCCTTACCTTGCTGAAGGCGTACGCGGCCTTTTCTTCCGCTAAAAACTCGACCAGGGAGGCCGACCGTTGGAAGTTCTGCCTCATCTTGCTGAAGCCATAGAGGTTCAGCTGGCGGATGAAGCTCTTCATGCAGTCCGTCTCAAAGATGCGCATAGGCCCTTTGCGCTCCAGCACCTCCTTCTTGAACAGCTCTTCGTCAATCACCACGCAGCTGCCCTCGTCATCCCACCAGAGAGACTTGAACTGGTCGCTCTCCACAATCTTCCAGAGCTTCTTGGGGAACGTGAGCGAGAGGAAATCGTTGTCTTCCAGACCGACTTCCTCGCAGAGCGACAGGCGGGGCCGCTTCGCCCAGGGCCCGTCGCTCAACGCTTGGAAGGCGTTCTCTTCAAGCATCGACCGCAGGGCGAAGTCACCGGCGGCGGTTTTGTCGTGCAGGGGGGTGGCGGGGAGGGGAATCGTGGGAGGAACGGCCGCCTCATCTTCGTCTGAAGCGGGATGAGTCTGCACAGCCGGAAGAGCGTCCAATTCCCGGTGATCAGCCAGGTAACTTTCAGCGGTCGCCATTATTATGCTGGTTGTCGAACCATGCCGGAGTAAAGTGCCGGCAGGTCTATTTAAAAAAAAATATAGAGGCTATCCAGCAGGAGCTTCAGGAAAGAGTTCTAGAACATCACAATGCTTTTAGCTGGGGACGGGGTGTGACATCACACAATGTATGCTGGTTTCCTAGCAAACGAGATCACAATGACAGGAGGCTTATGTTGCAGCTGCGCTTTAAGGAGAAGAGGGGATTTTTTTGGGGGGGGGGCGAGAGGAAGAGAGAGGAGGTGGACTAAGGACCTTAAAATTGCCATTAAAAGAACAACCACCAGCACCATATAAGATGTTTGAGGCCGAGAGTGGAGACATGGCAAGATCCCACACCAGGGATTTTTCCTATGCGCTGTGGACTCTGAAAAGGAAATCCAGACAAGAATTCTGCATCTTGCCTCCAAGCCAACCTCATTTAGCGTTTGCTAAGAAGGTGCAAGTTGATAAAGAAATAAGATTTGGGCATCTAAATGTACTTTTCAGTGCTAAAGGCAGTGGTGAGATTATAACAACCAGTTTCGTGTGCATGCCCAACATTTAGAAAAGGCAATTCTTAGCTATAATACTTACCTTCTGCTGCAGCCCCAGTGAGTAAAACAGCTGATGTGTGTGAAAAACCATTCTGCCGCACGAATCAGCTATGCGCAAAAGGAAGGAAATAAAAGCCCAGGAAAAGGGCAGAGACCAAATGATCACTGGAACTACCGGTTCGCCTGAACCAGTATAACCCCATCCTTGGCGAAAGGGCATTTTCCCAGGAGTATCCAACTGTGGCAACTTTTAAGACTTGTGGACTTCAACTCCCAGAATGCAACTTTAAAGCACAGCTGACTCCGGAACTCTGGGTGTTGAAGTCCACAAGTCTTAAACCGCTAAAGGTTGGACACCCCAGATCTAGAAGCTAAAGGTTGCCCGACGGATGCTGCATCAAACGAAGCGTCTTTTTCCATTAAGGGTATTGTAGTGATCCCCAATTCTCATTACGACTTCTCTTTCTGTCCTCTCTTGTGTATTCTCCTACGGGACACATTTTCCTAGCAGCTTTTCCAAAGCACCTGAAAGCCAGACAAAGGATGGAAACTCATCAAGAGGAGATTCAACCTAGAAATAAGGTTGAGAACCATCAACCCATGGAACAGAAGAACCCTCAACCCATGGAACAGAAGTTGTCCTTGGAAGTTGTGAGAGCGTCATCACTGGAGGCTTTCAAGAAGAGACTGGACTGCCCTCGGTCAGAAATGATGTAGGATCTCCTACTTGGGTGGGGAATTGGACTAGATGACCTACAACTCTGTAAATCTGTTAAATGTCCTTTCTCGTTCTCCCCACGTCACATTCATTTTTCTGATCCTGATGGAAAAGTTCTACCAAACTCTCACGCCAGTAAAATCCTCCTCCTATAATAGCTCTTGCTGACCCTTCTACCCCAGATATTTGAGCTGGTTAAGCCACTGCAGGCTGACATTTTTCACTGTTTGCAAGAAAAAAGGCTTGCAAAAATCCCGCAGGTGGGTAAGCTTGACACAAAAACACACCACTCAAAAAAAAGAAAAAAAACCCTTGGGGATGCTTTATTGAACAGGTCAAAAGGTGAGGCTGTGAGAAATCAGCCTTTGCCCAAATGTAGTGTGGAAATTTTTTAAAAAGAGCTGAAAGCCTCTCTCCACCCCACCGCAGATGGTACAAAGATTGAGGCTATTCACAGAAAAATTTACATACCTCTTCTGAGCCCAATTTAATCCAGAATGAGAAGTGCCAACAATCCTAGGCGAAGACTCACGTCTGAATAGTAGTTCATGGGCTCGAGGGGGGAAAATTCGAAAGGTGTGAACGACTTTTGCCTAAGGTACTTCAACCCGAAATAGAAACCGAGAGGAACACTCAACGGGGCCACGCACCAGAGATTACGCATTCCGTACAGCCTTTTAAAAAATACTTTTTACATACATATTTATAATGTACAGACTCATCTCCGCCCCCCCCCAGCCCCAATATATTACATGGCCAAGAGTTTATATAAATACTATATACAGGAAAACATGACTTCCACCAAGGAGGAAGGTTCGTACGTGAAGAAACCTTTTCTGCTTTCTCCAAAATACACACCCATCCTCTGCAGGAGTGTGTGAGCGCAAAGCCCTACGTGGGCCTTTGTCCAGGGGGAACTGTGGACAGGAAAAACTCGGGATAGGTGGGACTGTGAAGCGGTATTAGCAGTGGCAATCTATGACTTGGATGCCGAGAACTGAACTCAAACCTAAGGCTGCCGTTCTGTGAACAGGGACTCAGCCGTTCCCACTGCTGAACCCGGCCAGATTTACTTCCTGCTTTTACTAGGTGATATTTTGCACCCCAGGATGGACACTTGTTAAGGGAACGACATGAGTGCACATCCACAGTGGCCCCAATCCCTACCCATCCAACCAAGTAAAACCAAGGCATGAATTAAAAAATAATAAGGGTTGGCCGCGGATACCCAGAGGCGATTAATCGCGGGGAGACATTCCGTCCTGTGCAAAAAGTTCCATTTTTAATCCGGCATGTCGATGTTCAGTTTGGGCGGCGGGATGACGTACTTCCCGGGGCTCTGCGTAATCACCACCCCGGCTTTCTTCCGAAACATCGGAGCGATTTTGGGAGCTTCCGGAACCGGCGTTTCTTCCGTTTCCTCGTTATCTTCGTGATGCAGGTCATAAGAAATGTTGCCATACTCCCTCAGGAATGGGAAGATCTCGAGCAGGAACTGGCAGAAGTCTTTGCGAATTCCGAACCACCCTGCAGGGAGGAAGCGGTTGGCAAAGTCACTCGCCCGTCCAACCTGGGAAGTCCTGCCTCTTCCCCCTCTTTGGGGGAAGGGTCCTTGGTGCTCTCTGAGCTTGGTTTGTTTTCTTGCAGGCGTTTCGTGACCCAACTAAGTAACACAATCAGCGCTGGTAAGGGGTGGGTTTTTGCTCTCAAGTTTATATTACAAAGTCTGCACTATTATTAGTGTTAATCTTCTTATCACTCCTTATCATCCATCCCCTCCCACTTGTGATTGTAGGACTGTAACTTTGCGCTTGTATCCTTACGATTTATATTGACTGTTTCCTAGTATGATTTGATGGCTGATTGTACCCTATGACTTTTATTAAGTGTTGTACGTTGTGATTCTTGATTTTTAATGAATGTATCTTTTCTTTTATGTATACTGAGAGTGTTTACACCAAGACAAATTCCTTGTGTGTCCAATCACACTTGGCCAATACTCTATTCTATTCTATTCTATTCTATTCTATTCTATTCTATTCTATTCTA